ACACCAAGTATGCGTGCGCCAGGCTAGGGCCAGCGAAGTGGTGGTGGTCGGTCTCTGTGTATGTACATATGTCGCTCAGAGGCGGCGCATTCCGCATCCGGGCCTCGACGGCGCCCTCGCTATTGCCATTGCTATGGAGATGGGCGATACAGCTAACGACGTCGCACCCTGGCGTGGCGTGGCCAGCTTCTGGAAACGTTTGTTTCAAACCTGGGCCAGGCGATCATCGGCGAGCCGGGGTTCGGAGGGATGGATGCGTCGTGGACCTGGGGCCGTGTTTGTGGTTCTGTTGTCGCCTTGTTCTCTTTTCTTTTTTGGTCGTTGCAGGCGCAGGCGCAGGCGTGGGAGTGGGAGTGGGAGTGCAGAGCTCTGGTTAGGCGGCGGGCCCACTCGCAGCCTTGGTACGGCGGTGGACTTGACGGGCAGCTCGATGGATGCAGGGCCGGTAGCCTGATGGACATGCAGCAGCAGTAGTGGTAGCAGCAGTAGCAGGCAGGCAGGCAGGCAGGCAGGCAGGCAGGCAGGCAAGGGATTGACCGGACGATGCGAGCAATAGATGTAGTGGAAGGGCGGACATGCGCTGGGGAGGGGCTGGCGTGGCATAGCATGGTGCATGTCGGGCGAGGCAAACTCTGTGTACAGTACATTGATCCAAAGCAAACGCTGGCCATGGTGCGGGCGGCGGCGGGGGGGCGCTGGCTGGCCTGGCCCGGCGGGGGGCGGCGCATAGTACCTCTATATACCCGGCGTCGCATGTGTCGGCACCGCCATGGTCGTCGAGGGCGCGGGCGAGGGCGAGAGCAAGGAATGCGCGAGTGCCTGAGGGCGAACCATATCAGGCTTCCTGGCGTGCACCGCAGAGACGACGCCGCGCCCGTGTGCATATCCATGTGCCATGGCGCGGGTGAGGTCCGATCAGCCGTTGGGGCGCTGCATCCACTTCCCACACACATGCACACACACACACATAGCCACATGCGGCAAACACCCCCCCCCCGGGATGCGCATGCACGCTCCCACCGTCATTGGCGGTTTCATTGCACCTCTCCGCCCACCGTCCAAGTCCAAGTGCACGCGCAGCGTCCAGGTTTCGTCTCACGTCTCTTCCAGGTTTGTTGGCAGTGACAATATGCACTCTCGCCGCCTGCGACACGCTGCCCAGGTGGGCCCCCGCCCGCACGTCTCTACCACTGCCACCATCCTTGATACCTGTCACTGCAGCAGTAGCTGCCTGTTCGCGCGCCCGCCGCCTTTCTTCTTCCTCTTCATCAATACGCTGCTCCCTCGTTAGTGTACCGCCAAACCGTCGCTTGGGCCCTCGCTCTCCAGCCCACATCTCGATAACGCGCCCGCCGCACACGCCTTATAAGCACACGCCCACAGCCTCAGCTCTGCCGCTCGTCTGCTCCAGCTCCGACTGACTCGCTCTGCATTGCCCTCCCAATGCATCTGGTCCCGTCGTCGTGAGCGCCGCCGCTCCACACACTCTCCCCCCCTCCCCGCCTGCCTCCACCAGCATGGGCAACCAATCCAGCACCCTTCATGCCCACAAACTCTCCAAGCCCAGGACAAACTCCAATTCCCCGCCCGTCGCCCCAAGGCCCGACGTGCCCGACGACTCGGCCTCGCCCAGTCCCGTCGACCTGAGCCCGGAAGGCCGCCAGCAGATCAAGGACGCGCTCCTCTCGCCCACGGCCCCGGCCTTTGATGTCGCGCCGTGCATGCAGAAAAAAGACAGCGCTGTAGACACCATCAAGACCCGCGACCGTTCCGTCTCCATAACGTCCAAATCCCTCTCCAGGTCAAACTCGCGCTCCAATTCCCGCTCCAATTCCCTGTCATGCTTTGGCAGCAAACACGGCTCCACAGCTAGGCTCGCAGGACTGGGTGATTCCAAACTCTCCCTCGCCTCGTCCTCCAACATGGATATTGCAGAGGCCATCCGGCTGCTGCAAGAAGTCAAGAGAAATGCCTCTCCAGAGGACATTGCAGCCCTCCAGCAAGTGCTCGAGATGCCCGAAGAGGATGCAGCGCCCAGCCCAGGCCGCGCAGCGGCGACAATGAACAGGTCCTCTTCTACCTCGCTCACACGCCGCCAGTCTCTACTCCAGACGCCAGGTGTTGGCACTCGCGGCTCTCCCGTTGAGGCGCGCCGTAGGACATGGAACTCGTGGAGGGCCCCAAAGCAGGAGCCTGAAGACGACGCCAGATGGCGACATAACACGCGCATTACTCCGCCCTTTGGTCCTCCGCCGACTGCCTTCTCAGCTGAAATCGCTCAGGAGAGTGCAAGACCTCGGGTGGCAACGCCATCCGACATGGAATATTCGCACCTTGGAGGCTTTCGCCCCGGAACCCTGGTAGTCACAAACGGACCCGCATCACCAGCCTCGAGTATCAAGGGCTCCAATCGTCTAAATGCCGAAGACGAAGACTCAGAGACAGAGTACGGCTCTGGGCCACTGATGATGAAGACCACACGGCGCTTCGGCCATGCAAAAAGCCATTCTGCCTCACTCCCGGCAACATCGCCTCTCTTTGCAGCCGAGAGTGCGGATGCACCGAGTGGCCATGTTTCAGTTCAGGCGGACCTTCAATCAAACAGCGGCTCACAGGCCGTGGACAGAAACGAAAACAGCGCGCCTGATTCTGCTCAGGGCCATCAGGTCGATATTGCACCTAGCCAGCCTCCAGCATCAGAGGAGCATCCAAGTCTCCACAAGGACGAGGGCTTTGTTTCAGATGACGCACGTTCCTCTGAATCGGAGGCTACTTGTGCGTCCCAAGATTCAGAGTCAGCCGCAACTGCACCACAAGCCGTTGCCAAGGTATCAGCTGCTTTGTCTGTTCCAAGCACTGCGGCAATGAAGAAGCCCAGGAATGGGGCTACACAAAGACCGCCTCCACGAACTACTGATTCGGGTTATTCGTCTGGCGCTAGTCTGCGCGTGGCGGATCCAGCCAATTCATCTCCTGGTGTCTGCTCTCAGTGTCATTCGTCGCAGCGCAATTCCGGCATGCGTCAAGACCATGATGGCTCACAGTATACTGAGTCTGTGCCAATGCAAGGCTTGGGCGTTCCCGTGACTGCAGGAACTCTGGTCCAACCAACATTGGTCACAGTGAACGCAGTGCGGTCAGACCGACCAAGGCCGCCTCGGCGCATCTCTGTACATTCTGCAAACTCCTCAGCCAGGTCATCCGCGTCAGGGCCTTTGCGCTCGCCTCAGACTCCCCATTCGCTCTCTTCAACCGCATCATTTGACAGTAGTATTGGCAAGTCCCAGAAGCGTCTTCACCGAAGACGGAAGTCGCAGGCAGATGCTTTGGTTGTCCAGTCGTGTCAGCCGATCCCAGAAGGCAAGATTCCCGAGATTCCCGCCAACGTGCGAGCCAACTTTGAACGACGCGTGGCAAGGACCCCGGGCATGGATTGTTTGACACACACATATCCTTCAAAAGACCATGTTGTGGCTGAAGAGCACAGAGCCAGCGTGCCACTCCCAGGTCACACCGAGTTCAGGTTGCTGGCTGAGCTCGAGGCTGAACGCATGTCGACACCTGCTGCTCCGAACCACCGAAGGAGCTTTCCGTTTTTTCGTAGAAAGTCGATGAGTGATAAACGGGAAGCTCAGAAAGAGGCACAGGGCGTAACCATCGAAGCTGGCTATCTGGAGCACATTGCCGCGTCAATCGGCACTTCTCCATACGATGCCATCACGCCTGGCCTACCCAAGCAAACGGCTGGTTCTGCAGCATACCCACACCGGCTCGGGACGTCTGTGCCTCGTGCAAAATCCATGGTCAACATGGATAACCAGGCTGCCATTGAATTTGCGCGCGCACACAGCAGAGATGTTGCGTCTTCAAGACACATGCTGCCTCAGCAGCGACGCAAGAGCTTTCACGGCTCGAGGATGGAGGCTGGCGAAGCCGGAATGACCAAGTTTCGTCCACTCAGCTTGGATATTCCGCCCGTGCCGTCTATTGACATGTCTAAGCTGTCAGTTCCCCACGGCGCCAATCCGCAAGCAAGGAGGCGAAGTCCAGGACCATCTGGGCCAGGTGCTGGCCCAAGGCGTCCTGGTCACCGACGCAGTCAAACCGTTGCCCCGATGGCAAGCAACAGCAGCGCTTATCTGCAGGAGCCCCCGCGGCACAGCGTGCAATGGAATGCCCGCCCCAAGTCTTGGCACCAGCGCCGCAACACGGTGGGAGAGGGCATGCATTCCATGGATGCCGTCGCTGTTGCCGTCAACAAACGTGCTTCTGTTGGCTCGCAAAGTAAGCCGCAGGCGCCGGAGAGGCCTGCCGCTTGGGGCCGCTACAGTGGTGGCTTAGGATACGACTACGAGGGCCGTGGAGTGGGCGTTGGAGGAAGCGCTGGTACGCGACAGCTCAATAGCTGTGCATCGGTCAAGTCGCTGCACTACAAGCACCAGTACGGGGTGGATCTCTCAGATGTGCCCATTATGCTCCAGCGCGTTTAGATAATACTGTCTTGGGCTGTTCGTGAAAAAAAAATTGGATACCGGCGTTGGGTTTCGGTTGCTGCAACGTGCTCAGGGCGGCGTTGGGCTTTGACGGCTGGTTAGCATTTGCATTGCGCACACGCATACAAAACACAGACTTACTACAGCTATTATACATACGAAGTCGCATGTGGGAGCTGTGCAGGAGTTTGGCGGTCGTTTCTTTTCTTTTCTTTTTCTTCGGCACATATACATAGATAATGCACGGTGGCGGCAGCGGTGGCGACGTAGCCAATCAAAGCATGAATGATTTGACACAACGCCGCCCAGGGAACAACATGCTCTTCACATGTGTTGCTGACGTGGAAACAGGGGGATCTGGCATTGGCATCGAGCATCGAGTATTCAGGCTTGGAGAGTGAGGGCGGGCCGTGTCGAGCGTCGGTCAGGAGGATTCGCGTGCGGCACACACGGCTATCGATGCCCAAAATGCGCCTTTTTTTTGGCTTCCTTGCTGCGAACTGGTTGCTCCGCCTCACCACGCGTATATGTTGTGTGTGTGCCAGGCAGCTGATCAGGCACCGTTGGCTGAGCTGCACGAGCCCCGGTGATGTCAGAAAGGGCTGCTAGTGGCTGCAGGTCCTGGAAAGGGCGCAGGGATTTTAAAGTAATGTTCGGTCCAGGACGTCCAGCACCACAACCGAATGCGCGAAAATTGACCCAGCTCCCCGCCATCCATCCATCGCCCTCCATCCCTCCTACACTCACCTCTGCTCCCCATTCACCGCCTCGTCAGACCTCGCTGCCACCCCCCCCTGTTACAGCGACCGTCTGCCCTCTTGTTGCTGCCCGCCCCCCCATCGTTCGACAGCCTTTGGTCGCGTCAAAGGCTCCCATCTCACTACGGCTTCGGCCCTGATTCTGCTCAACCTTCAAGTTGTTTCTGCTCGACCAGCGCCTCACGTTTTCAACAACATCCCACCTCCCCGTCTTGTCGTCCCCTAGGAAGGAGCTCGAGCGTCTTTTCTTTTTGTCGCCTACCCAGACCCTTGAGCAGCCCCAACTTCAGCTGCCGCATAGGACGCCATCAGCGGTTCTTCCTCTGCACGAGGAAGCGGCCAGACCTCGCCCAACACCAAGCCTCGGCTTCGCACCCTTCAAGCCACCCTAACACGGGATTGGGATCCAGCAAACCATCTACCCCAAAGCCAACTCTCAACCTCCAGAAGCCACCGTCAAGGGTATGGCACCTTCTGCTGTCACAACTACCGAAGAATACCAGTTCCCGTTGAAAGACTTACAGTCGTTCACCAACTATCCCTCCGGTAGTGTCGATAACCATGGCGCCTGCCAACTCAAGCAGCTGATTGGAGAGGCTCTCAAGAGCCGTGTCGAGGCTGTTGATCCTGATGCCTGCAGCGTCGGCGAGGAAGACGCCTTCTTCGTTGCCGACCTGGGTGAGGTCTACCGCCAGCATATGCGCTGGAAGAGAAACCTAGGCCGTGTCAAGCCACACTATGGTAAGTCGCACAGGCCGCCGTCGATTGACATGTGTCGCTAACATGGGGATAGCCGTCAAGTGTAACCCTGACCCGCAAGTGCTTCGTCTCATGACGGAGCTGGGCCTCGGCTTCGACTGTGCCTCCAAGAACGAGATCGAGACGGTCCTCAAGCTGGGTGTTGATCCTTCTCGCATCATCTACGCCCAGCCCTGCAAGACCAAGTCGTATCTGCGCTACGCCGCACAGTCTGGCGTCAAGCAGATGACCTTTGACAACGCCGATGAGCTCTACAAGACCAAGCAGCTCTTCCCCAACGCCGAGCTATTCCTGCGCATCTTGACTGATGACTCAGCCAGCCTGTGCCGTCTCAGCCAGAAGTTTGGCGCTTCTCTGGACACCACCGCTGAGCTCTTGGAGCTAGCAAAGAAACTGGAGCTCAATGTTGTTGGGGTGGCCTTCCATGTCGGATCCGGCGCATCCGACCCCAAGGCCTTTGTTAAAGCCGTCCAGGATGCCCGTTTCGTCTTTGACCAGGCGGATGCTCTTGGATTCAACATGCACACCCTGGATGTTGGTGGCGGTTTCACGGGCGATGTCACTTTTGAGCCCATGGCTGCCGTCTTGTCCGCTGCCTTGGACGAGTACTTCCCGCCCCACATCCGCGTCATTGGGGAGCCCGGCCGTTACTACGTGTCCACGGCCTTTACCATTGCGTGCCACGTCATTGCTCGTCGCACTGTCACGGATGCCACGTTGGGTACGACCTCGTACATGCTGTACCTCAACGACGGTGTTTATGGAAACTTTTCCAGCATCATCTTCGACCATCAGCACCCTGTGCCACGTGTCTTGAAGAACGGCAACAACGTCTTGTATGACGTTCGTCGCTCAGGCTATGACAGTCCTTCTCAGGTCGAGTACTCCATCTGGGGCCCGACGTGCGATGGTATCGATGTCATCTCCTCTTCCTGCACCTTCCCGGAGCTGATTGATGTTGGTGACTGGCTCTACTTTGAGGAAATGGGCGCATACACCAAGTGCTCTGCTACTCGCTTCAACGGCTTCAGCGACAGCCACGAAGTTGTTTATGTGTGCAGCGAGCCCGGTGCTGCCGCTCTGATGGGCATGTGAAATAATGTGGAGGAAAGCATGACGAGAATAGCGAATACTTGTGTAACAGCGAGCGTGCAGAGGCAACAACAGTATTAGTTTTCCTTGGTCAAAAGTTTGATAGATTTATAGATTTTTGCGTACTTGGTTTTTAAAGTCTTGGCTATTTACCGAGTGTCACCCCGTATGCAAGTTGGGTTGTTTGTAAGACCATGAACAAGCCAATGACTTCATAGTACCCTCGTGTAACAACCCACCCACGTGGGTGTGTATACGAGATATGGGCGCCCTATTTTAGGCACCACTTTCGTCTATCGTGTTTCAGAAACCAACCAACCAGTCTTTTTCTTGTGCCCCCCCCCCTCCTCCAGCTTAAGCAACGACGTGACGCTAGCGTGATAGACTAGCGCCCAAGTCCACCCTTGGGCGTGTGGGCGGCGGCAAACCACTGCCCAAACACTCTCTTTCTCTCTTCCTTTGCAACCTGCATGAAGTTTCTCCTTGTATTCTTTCTTTTCGATCTTTTTTCTTTTATGCCACTTCATACGCATAACACCGTGGATGAAACAAACTTTATATTTTGATCGGTTTGCTTTTCCGGGTATCAGAGGCTCGTGGATATAATAAGTATATGTCGTGAGTGATTGGGGGATGTGCATGGCTGCTCATTCACTCACTCACTCACTCATTCGCTCACTGTCCTGCCGTTCCACGCCTCCCTTGCTCACTATCTAGTTCTAGCCCAGACCTAGCCACGCACACTTCCAACATACATATCAACCTACGACCCTCCCTTTCTATGCCCTCTCCCAAAGGACAACCCAAATAACCAAACACATGTAAGTCTCCCTTCTCTCCTCTCTCCCCCTCTTACTGCCCTTTATTTCTGCATCGAAAAGAGCAGAAATAACCCACTCCCAACGCCGATGATGACACGGGGGCTGTGCTGCAATCTCCATGTCCTTTCTTTCTTGCTTTGTATCTTTTGTTCCTTCTTCTCTTGGAGGGGGGCTTAGTTCACACGAGGAATGAAGGTACACGGAGATTTGGTTTTGGCACGTATGCTCCCTTATCGCAGATACTGCGCAGTAGAGAACCGTCTCTTTCTCTCTCCCTCCTTCACTGTCTCTGTTCTCTCTTCTGGATTTGTTCTGTCTCGTCTACTCTTTGAGTATGGGAAAGAAAAAGAGGATAGGAGGATGGGATGGGATGGGGGAAGAGGAGAGGAGAGAGGGTTCTCGGTGTGCGAAAGAAAAGTTTTGTCTGAGCCATCTCTCTCTTTTTCTTCTTTTTTTTGATAAAAGGAAAAAAGAAAATTGAGATTTTTTTGGGTGGGCGGTTGGAAGAGAGAAGGAGGGTGTGTGGTTGATCTTGTGAATGGCTCTGCTGACTTTGTTACGTGCAGATACCCCCGTTTTGTTCTTGCATGTGTTAAGTGGAGAGCTGTACATTTTGGAAAGGGTGGATTCTCATTAAGAAAACTGGCGCTGTGTAGGTACTCGGTTGTCTTGAACTAGCCTTAATGCTGGACTGTTGCCGGTACCTATGTGATATATAGGGTTTAATGAAGGGTAAAAACGGTCTCAGTCAGGCACCTTTTAGGGTGTACGAGAACGTTACAGATTATGTGGATATTACTGATTTCCGCGCCCTAAATGCACCATCACTTTTGCGCTTCCAAACGAGAGTGAAGAAATACAAGCGTTTCTCCTTCATCCAGTGGAAACATATCAGAACAACCTTGATACACCATATTGCCTAGTCAGAGCAGGCATTTCAAGATTCCAACTCTTGAAGCGGTGAAATTTGAGACTAGGAGCCTCATGCGATAGAGAGTAAGCCTAGTTAGACATCATACCAAGCTCATTGAATACCCCTTGCATGAACCACACTACACACTATTCCTAGTCTCCTGAATCATACATGTACATGTCCACATAATATAAACATTGATAGTACAAGCAAGCCTATCTTCATCTGCTCCATGTCAAGTGCATCTACCGGGCCTTTTCCTTATTCTCAGCCGCCCTCCTCTTCGCCCGCACCTCTGCCTTCCTCCTCTCACCACCATCGACCTTGTGGCCCCTCCTCTCTTCCCAGATCCCCTCCTGCAGCCTTATCCTCGCACGAAGCCCTCCGCTTCCCTTGACGGGCTCCACAAAACTACCTTTAATCGTCTTTGCACCTTTTATAACCACGCCCTGGACTTTCGCCAGCGTCTCCACAGGCTCCATGGGCTCCTTAGCACCCGCCGGTATGTTGACTACAAGCTTCCTCGTCCCGGGATCATGCGTCGCCGTTGCAGCCGCCGACCGCGGACTAATCGTGCTACCAAGCAGCGGGTTCGGCGGCACAGGAGCGTCCACGACCTTGAGTTCCGCCACGCCGTCGCTAACGTGCTTGCAGTCGCCGCCAATGCCGTACTCGCCATTCCGGAACTTTTCCCGCCAGTGCAGCAGGTACCGGCGGGAGCGCGCGGGCTCCACACCCAGCTCCTTGAGCTGCGGCGACGTCAGTGTGAAGAGCGCTTCCCACGACGGTATCTTTGTCGCGTGCGCAGACAGCCCCCGCCCAATCGCGCTCAGAAACGCCGTGTGGTCTGGGATAAACGGTATCGGCTTCGGCACTGGCCGCATGGGAATCGAGTGCTGGAGGTGGCGCACGCATGTCTTTGGTATCGAGACGGCGGCCGACGTTGCGCTGCGAAGTGGGCGTCTGAGAATCATGATTTGCGGGCTGCTGCACACACACACACACACTTGGTCTTAGCGATTTGTCTCTAGAAAGAATAATGGAATTGGGTGTATATATCGTACTGTGTAGATGTGGCTCTCTCTCTCTCTTTCTCTTTCTCTCCGTTGTCCTCCCCCAGAATCACGGGTTCCGTCGAATTGGGTTGGCCGACCGTCAACTTTTCGGAGGAGCCAAGACAACATGACCGTGCGCCCGCAAGCCAGCCCAGCGAGCCCCACGTCACCCACCTAGGCGCTGCCCTCCGCCCCAAGCTCCACTGCCTGCCACACGACCCAGCTCAGCCATTGCAGTAGTAGAGAGTCTCCTATTGCACACCCCTCACACATACACATATTCACACAAAAAGGCACCATGGCTGGCCCCGAAGTGCACCACCTCTTCCATTCGCCCATTGCGGATCATTCCTTCTCTGCCGACCGCCAGACGCTGGCCGTTGCCCGCGAGAACAACGTCGATGTCTTCCAGCGAAGCGGCAGCGGGTACAAGCTCAAGGACGAATTGACGGGCCACGACAAGACGGTCACGGGCGTGGACATTGCACCCAATTCTGGCAAGATTGTAACTTGCTCGCAGGGTAAGTAAGCTGGGGGGAGCTGCGGCCTGAAAGTGTGTGTGTGTGTGTACCATGTAGCTGACGAGGCGGGGGACGCAACAGACCGCAATGCCTACGTGTGGGAGCCTTCGCCCCAGGGCTGGAGGCCAACGCTGGTGCTTCTCCGTATCAACCGTGCTGCTACCTGCGTCCGCTGGGCGCCCTCGGAGACCAAGTTTGCCGTGGGATCGGGTGCTCGATTGATCCCCGTGTGCTACTTTGAGGAGGAGGACAACTGGTGGGTTTCCAAGCACCTCAAGAAGCCCATCCGCTCCACAGTTTCGTGCGTTTCGTGGCACCCCAACTCGGTCCTGCTGGCGGCGGGGTCTACCGATGGACACGCTCGCGTGCTCTCGTCCTTCATCAAGAACGTCGACGAGCGGCCAGAGCCCTCGGCATGGGGAGAACGCTTGCCTTTCAACACAGTCTGTGGCGAGTTCCTGAACAACACGGCAGGCTGGGTTCACAGCGTCGCCTTCTCGCCTTCGGGTAACGCCCTCGCCTTTGCCTCGCACGACAGCACCCTCACCGTCGTGTACCCGAGCGGTCCCGAGCAAGCACCTCGTGCGATTGTTAGCGTCAGCACGCAGGTGCTGCCTTTTATGTCGCTGCTGTGGAGTTCGGAGGACGAGATCATTGCGGCTGGATACAACTGCGAGGCGTTCCGTTTCAAGGGCAACGAGTCTGGCTGGCAGCTGACTGGAAGTCTGGAGACGAAGAGCCGGCCTGGTCTTGCCGACCAGCGCGAGGAGAGCGCATTGAACATGTTCAGGCAGATGGATCTCAAGGGCAAGTCGGGCACGGATGACACCAAGCTCAAGACTGTGCACCAAAACACCATCAACACGATCCGCAGCTTCCAGGAGAGCGGAAGCAATGTCAGCAAGATCAGCTCGACGGGTGTAGACGGAAGGGTTGTCATCTGGACACTGTAGACATGACAGCAAGCTGCAAGAGTAGTTACATAGATGCAAGCAAGCAAGATAAATATCAATTGCAATTCCCGACCATGAACGCGGAAGGGAGAGTGTAGTGTCTAACTACCTGAAAAGCGATAGTGGAGAGTCTAACTGCCATGGGTAAAAAAAAGAAAAAAAAAGAAAAGCTGAATCTAGAATGCTGGGACACCCGAATGCTTCCAGAACAAAAGAGAGAGAGAGAGAAAGCCAACAACAAGAAAAGAGAAGAAAAAAAGAGAACAATGAGAGTGATGCGTTGCTAATGATACAATCCATCCACCCATTGAATCCGGCCGTTTCCTTCGTTTCCCCGCCGCGACTACACTTGGGTAAGTTTAAGCGAAAGGCCAAAATGTTGTCGAAAACAACAAGCATGTAAGCCTCAAACGTGGTTTAAAAAAAAAAGAGAAATCGCTGCAAACAAGCAAACAAGCAATCAAGCAATCGCCTTTTTGCATATGTATACAAAGTTTCTTTTGTTGTTGTTATTGTTGTTATTGTGGTACTCGGTATTGGTTAGCCAAAGCCAGTAAAGCCCTGGGCATTCAGAGCGTCGAGCGTGACGGCCTGGACGGGAGTGGCCGTGGGCATACCCTGAGTGGTCTGTGCATCGTTGAGGAACCACGACCAATCCTGGTCAATGTCCATGGGCATGTGTTGCCAGGAAAAGTTGTTTGTGGGGAGCGGGAAGTTGTTGAGACTGTCGTCGTTGAGCTGGGAGCCGAAGCCCTGTGTGGTGCCTGTTGTGGATGCGTCGTCGCCGTTGAGGTTGTTCCAGTTGTAGAAGCCGACGTACGAGACAAAGGGCGAGGGGTCGTTGAAACCAAAGCTTGTGGTGCCGGTGCCGGCGGAGATGGACGTCTTGGGCGTGACGTTGACGGATTGCGTGGGGTGCGAGAAGACATTAGACGTGGATGTTGTTCTCTCGGATGTGGGCGTGTACAGGTGTTGTGAGGTAGCTGGGGATTTTGAGCCCCTGATGCTGGGCGAGCAGCCTGGGGGTTGGGGAGGATTCTTGACTGGTTGGCCGCCTCGTTTGATGGAGATGGTACCAAAGTATGGAATCACAAAATTCGACTGTGCATTGCACGTTTCGTCTAGGTCGTTGCTAGTGCCCTTGTACTTGGCCATCATCTTGTCCAGGACTTCTGCAGATTGTGCGGCGACCTTGCCGCCCTTCTCGCTCGAAGCCCGGCGGAAGATGTCGATGCTGACTTCAATCAGGCGGATGTCGTCTTCAATATCCTTGGGGCTAGGGTTAGAGCTGGCAGAGGTTCCTTGCGAGCTCATGCTGAGCAGACCAAGTTGGATGAGGACGGCCGTTGTGAAGCCGATAAAGTCGATGGCTTTGCACTCATAGAGGGGCTGCACGGTGCCAGTTCGCAACGATTGGTAGAGGCGCAGAACCTCCCGCGAGCTGTTCAAGCACGCCGTGCGCGAGTAGGTGAAGCGCGAATTTGATGCCGACTTGAGCATAAACGGCAGGTGTAGGTATACACGGATCTGGTGGAAGACCATCTGGCCCATGATGCGTTCCCGTAACTCTGCAGCGTTGGATTCCGAGTCAGCAAGAAGCTCTGTATAGTCGAGCCATGATGGATCGAACTTCTTCCATAGATCTTCAAGCTCTTGGTCAAGCTGCAGGGCCCATGCAAACGACTGCTCAGCTATTCCTTGGTTGCGATCAATTACTCTGCCTGCAAGCTGTGAGAGTTTTGTGATGGCTGTCAAGGGGTGGATATATGGGCTATTGTCAACCTCAGGTATGGTGAGGTCACAATGGGCATCGTTGATACCATATGGAAGACCTAGCAGAAGGGATAAGAAGCGGTCGCCATGGTACAGAGCCCACCATATACTTTCGTGAGGCACCGAGGATGTGCGCTTGCGGTGGAGCCCCTGATGTCTGTTAGTATTCTTTCACGGATGTGAAGAAGCAATCAACTCTACTCACCATGAGCTGGGCGTACATTAGGCCCTTTCGGTATGCGATCCAAGCACGGCGTGGTTGGCCCACATCGGCATACCATTTGGACTTGAGGAGCAGACACTCGAGCCCTTCGAGCGTTGCCCCATACTCATCGTCGGACAGGAACCATTTGTCAACCGCCTCAGTGTAACGTTGGACGTCTTCACCATCCTCGGACAAGCAGATGCCAACTGACAAGACGACAGTGGCAATGGCACCCACGTTTCCGGTTGTCAGGGCCTGGGCAGCATATTGAGACAGTGATTGTGAAGGCCCGGATGTTCCGCTACACTTGCGGCGCCATGTTTCCCACCAGTCGCTGTTGGTGTTGAGAATCTTGGAGAGCTGGTTGTAGGGCGGTAGTGCGGCGATGAGGGCCTGTTTAGCGCGTTCTTGCTTGGTGGAATTTGCGCCAGGATGGCCAGTGGCAATATCTTCATCGTTCCTGTTTTCTATTGTATATCGCAGCTCTTCCGAATGAAGGGGATTTGGTATTGATGACTGCTGCAAGGGATCCTTGCGGGCGTTTGCCTGGGCTTCAGCATCGTTGAGCTGTGCAAGGTAAGCTTACAAGCTCGGGGACAAATGAAAAGGGACATACTGCATCTTCGAAGACGGCAAGCATGGGTACATGATGGCCCCGGTCAGAGACAACGCGTTGGTTGGTGAAGATGTTGGACGATGCTCGTGAGGAGAGGGGTGTCGGGGGGAAGGTGTCTTTTGTGCAGTTGTTGGATGCGTTTGGTGATGCTGTGTCGGCGACGCTGTGACTCTGGCTCCGGCTTTCCGTCTTGACTGCTTTTTCTTCCAGCAACGTATCAACCAGGGCCTCTAGGCGCGAGACTCTCTCACGCAGGTTCTTTCGGTGATCTACAATAATGTCGGGATTGGCATGTTCCTGGTCGATGCACCTGCTTCCGCGCGCAAAACATTCCGAGCACACGTCTGGATTGTCGGACTGGAAGATGCACCTGATCTTGCGGCGACGGCCTGTACCGCGATTAGACAGCTGCTATAGCGCGAGGCTACAAGAGGGAGCGCAGAAATCGGGCAAGGAGGAGGGCAGCGCGATGGATGCGCAGAATGAAGAAAGGCATGAATCTTGATGGAGAGCAACATGGTATCATGTAAGGTGGCCTATAGCCATGGGGGCGACAGCAGGGTCGACCTACATTCAAAGCAACTATGCGTGCCCTTACGCATCTTCTTGCGCGTCGGCAGCGTCTCCTCCTTGGGCATCTTGGGCGCGTCGTGTGTTCCACTCTCACGGGATGGTTGTGCCTAGCTCTTGCGGTACATTCGTCCGAACAGAAGGTTGCGCCACCCAGGCGGTCCGGAATCACGGGTAAGCGCAGGTGATAAGAAGGGACCCCGGGTGCACTCGGTTTCGAGCAATGGAAACAAACCCAGCAACCTTTGCAGCCTGAGAAGCAAGTTGTGGAGTGGAGGCAGGAGAAGAAAAAAGATGGTATGGCACTGTACGTGTCGTCGGTCAGCGCGGGTTTGGCGGTTGCTGCTTGTTTCGAGAGGCGGCCATGGAAGGACGGACGTAAGATTCGTCCGTCGGAGTTCCGGGGAGAAGAGGAAGCGAGGGCAAAGGCGAGCTGAGTAATGCAGCGGTTCCCGTAGCGCGCCGGACCGCGAGCAGCGTACCGCGCGGTGTATCTGTGGGCCCTTAAGTATACATGTAGAGGCGCCGTCGCAGGCGGTTGAGCCAGGCAGCAACTATTTGCATGCCGCGGCGCGTTCCCTTTCGGCGTCTCGGCGGTACCGGAGTTAGCACGCGGCAGCGCAACACTGCCACGGCCAAAGGCGATTAGTTGCCGGCTGGGCGGATGCTGCAGCGCTGCATGTCCATGTGCAGTCCGCCCAGGTGTGCTTGCGCCTGTACACGACGGCCAGCGACGGTCCCGGGGCCCGAGGCGTCCATGGCTCTTCTGCTTCTGTGTCGGTCGTATCGAATACGTGCATACGCACCGCCAACCCCCACCCGCTCGACTCATCTTGACCAACTCCGACCTGCATCGCCGCCCCCGCCCCTTGCACTCTGTCCCAGCACCAAGATTGCGCCCAGCACACCTCTCCGCTTGTCCACCACAAGCTCACCATGCTGCCCGCCACCCTGTCGACCCCCGTCTAACCAGCGCCCGGCATCTCCTTCTGTTCTCGGCACCCGCGGCCCAGCGCAACGGATCACGGCGCTATACAATGGCTGCGCCCCATTCACCACCAGCACACGCCTCCCAGCACCACCTGCCCCCCAGCCCGCCGCCATCGCCGCCAGCGACCCGACGGCGACACAGGCGGAAACCCGATCCGTTCGAGGCCCTGGCCACCACGCCCATTCCCTCTATCCCCGCATCGCCAGCAAGCGAGCCCGCCGCCGCCGCCGCCAACGAGCCTCTTCTGAAGCGAGTACGTCTTTGCATTCTGCGCATCGCCCCCTACAATTCGCCCTGCTCAGTGCTGACAAGTGCCGTCAAGATCATCCTCACCCCCATCCTCTTCACCTCGTTTCTCGTCTCCCTCTTCCTGGTCAACTACCGCAACAGGGCCCGCCGCACCGCCGCCCGCGCGCCCAGCTTCCCGCTCCTAACCTACCTGTTCCCGTCGACCTGGCTGGACCCAGAGCCCTACCAGCACCCGCATGACTCGACCTGGGACCGCAGGGACTCCTCACGCCATGTAGAGCCGCACGACGCCATTTCGCCCGGGTCTGCGAGCCAGACCGGCGGCACGCAGCTGCGCAAGAAGCGGACGTCGTGGCATCTACACAAGAAGATTAGGAAAGTCGCCAGGTTGGAAATTGGCGATGCCTGGGAAATGCGCGGGCGCGTTATTGTGGCTATGGCTGCCATCATGCTCCTGACTTGTGCCGTCTTGTGCATGGCCTTGAAGTGGTGCTTCCTATCCGTTTCCCACGCCCTATCTAGGGCATGAAGAAACGGGAACACCATCATGTAACGACGAAACGACCATGATATGAACGCAAGCCAGATGAGCGAGCATCTTAGATCTACGGTACAAACAAAAATTCTCTTTCTAACCTGATGCATGCTCCCCTCCACTTCAATCCCCCCTTTCTTACACTAACGTACAACAGGGCGTATATGTGAGACACAATCTAGTTGAGAAAATCGACTTTGAAAAAAGCATTCAAACGCCGGCATAAGTCATAGCAAGGTCGTTCCCGTCGTAAAAGCCCCCAGAAAAGAAAAGAAAAGAGTCTACAGCAGGATATCAAGAGAAGGGTATAACATGCTGAACAATCAAGGCCAAATGAACAATAAACAAATGCTCGCTTACAGTCTTGAAAGAGAGGGGGTGTTCTCATAATCTGATGACACAGAAAAAAACAAGAGAGCATACCCCAATACGTCACAGTTTCAACAGGCGTGCAACCAGCCTGTCGAAAAAGTAACTCATGTCGTCATGTTGCCGCGTCGCGCGAACCTTCTGTGTGAGATAGCCAGCATCATTGGCCAGTCTGATGGCCTTCTGAACGCCTCGGATGAAGGTGTCTGCCGGGCTTCCCGCATGCTGGGCTTGCATCGTTTCGCCTTCCCAGTCGGCTCCAAGGCGCGCGTGACAGCCCGAGAAGCACGCGCTATAGAAGCCCAGGAGCTCCTTGACACCCTGCTCATTGAACTTTAGGTCTTCTTCCGCGCTCGAGGCATTGGTCGTGCCGTACAGGTTGTGGTACGGCAGTTTCGCCGCGTGGTAGTGCACAGACTCGACTGTCATGAGGACGGTGATGAGGACGGCTAGTGCAAGGGGCCATTCATCGCAGTCCTTGTTCAGCAGCAGCAGCTCCAGCGACGACAGCACGCTCTTCATGAGGCGGTGAGCGAGATCCGGCATGATTGCCCCAAACTGTGAGCGGATGAAACACGGCGTTGGCGTGAGGTCATGGGCAATGTCCATGGTGCTGCATACGAGCTTATCCAGCACTCGACTCTCTGACCGCGGTGGCAGCGTGATGTCGCCGCCGACGTGCACCAGGACGAGGAGCTTGAGTGCCTCGTGCAGTACGCGGGAGTGTGCACTAGTTGCTGGGAGAGAGCGCGACAGGATATATACTTCGCGGAGGATGCGCAAGGGGGAGCGGTACAAAGGAAAGGCATGGAAGTGCTGCGTGACGAGCAACGACAAGTGGGAGTCCAGCGTCGTCAGGAGATTGGCTTGAGCCTCTGCAGACAGGACAGCCGGAAGCACAGCATGCTTGTGCGGGGGCCCAGAGAAGGGCTCAGGTGGCCACGAATAGACAATGTGGTTGTGGACTAGTGGGTTGTCATCCAGCTGCACCACATTCACCGCCACGGGGAATGCGGGGCCAAAGCCAAAGTGGAGCGGAACCGTGTAGACAATATCTGTAATGATTTCAAAATGACTGGTGGGCATGAAGGACTGTAGGCTTCGAGTCGTAGGGTGCCAGCCCAGCCGGGGTGAAAGAAACGCCGTCGACAAGTCGCCAAGGGTGCGATCGCGGCAGGGGTGCTTGACCAAGTCGCCCTTGTAGTGCTCGACACAGGCCTTGCACGGCATGCCCGGATCGCATTTTTCCTTGCGCCGTTGGCAGTTGGAGCACGCCCGCACGATCCGCATCATGGCTGCATGGCGCCGCTGCTCGGGAGTCAGCGCCCTCTTCCGTCCCTTTGGCGCTCTTCCAGCCATGCCGTCGGAGCTCGTGGGCGCCAGCTTATTCGTGACGGGATTCGGATGGTAAGCTACCCAGCCATACGAGTCGGGCGTCGGCGATGGCGTCAAGCTCTTGCGTCGAGAGTGCGAGGCGCTCCGAGACAAGGCAGCCGTGCGATGATGATGATGATGATGGCGCGAGGCCACGGGCGACAGCGACACCATGGGCGGCACCCTCCGCGTGGATGCTGAGTGATCCGCCCAATGGTGGTAACTTGCCGGTCTGCGAGCGGCTTCTGGAATCGCAATGGCCCTGCTACGCGTGTGCAGCTCCAGACTGCCGTCTGATCGCGGATGAGACAGAGCCATGGAATTGTAGCTCTGCGCGAATGCCTGCGGGATGGGTATCGGCATGGCCTCAGTCCTGCCTCCTCCCTCGTCCTCGGCAATGGGCTCGATGATGCGCGGCCTGTCGGACCAAGCGCCCCAAGTCAAGGCGCGCGAGGCCCTCATATCCAGGTCGCTGAAGAAGTGCGACGAGCCCGTGACATGGGGATTGAAGACGGTCTCGAGCGTGCTTTCGAGAGAGCCGCTGGACGAGGCAATGGCCTGCGGAATGCGGTCGTAGCGTGTATCTAGAATCGGGGATTCCGTCATGTGGCCCAGTGGAGACAGAAGTGCATTGTCGCACGCACCAAAAGGCCCATGGTACTGGTTCCCCTGAGGAATGGCGAGTGGACGTGTGGCCGACGCCAAGGGCGAGCTACTATATGCATACCCGAGACACGACTGCTCATCTGCCAGGGACGGCGAGCCACACGCCGCCGTGTACTCGAGCGAAGCCGGGAAATCCGCCACGGACGGAGCCGTCGACACTAAATACGGCACTTCAGATGTAAAGCTTCCCGAAAGCTGGGAGCCGGTGCTGAAGCTGCCACCGCCCTGTGCTTCTTCTGTGTAGCCCGTCGGGACATGGAAGAATGCATCGCTCATTTCATCGTCCCACGACACAAAGTCTTGCCAGCTCTCGATCGGTGAGCCATCGTACTGTTCCTGAGACATGCTTGAAGGGTGTGTGTGTGTGTAAGTTCGTTGTTTGTGAGCAAGGCTGAGTAGTAGGTCAACTTGGAAAAAGCGGGCTGTTGGCTATCAACAATGGAGGCGAGAGACCTAGGAAAGGCTCATCCCTTTGCGAAGAGGTTGCATGCGAATGAGAGAGCTCCTGAAAAAAAAAGCCGGGCGTCGAGGATAGAGTAACCAAAAAAAAGCTCCAAAGTAGAAAAACAAAAGACAGCAGTACCTCGGTGACCTGAGCCAAGCTGTAACCTTTGTCACAATTATATTGTGGTGGGCGACCTGGGGCAGACTCTGGGGGCGCGGCTGACGGCGCGCGACGTTCGCTGCCTTGCAGCATAGGCCGACAGGGCAATTGACGAGTAGTCGGCGCCGGCCTTATCACGTTGGAGTCGCTGATCAGGGTATTAGTGAAAGTTGGGTGTAAATGGCCGTAGGCTTTTCCGTGATGCACGGCACTGGGACGAAGCGAACATGTCTTGGGGGCTGGGTGGGCAGTGCCATCTGACCATGCGCGAGTCTGCCATGGCCTCCGGTCAACTGCATCAGTGGTAGTCCAGCCACCGTGCTTCCCGGCTGTTGTTCCCCGCTGAGCACGGCAGACTCAAACGCCAAATCACAGACAGAGACGTGAGCTGCGGGCATTTAGCGACGTCCCTACTAGTTCCAACATCTGTGGGGGTTTGAATAAGCATATTAGACGGGCCGGGTATCTGGGAGACTTCGCCTTATCGTGGCTGTGAAGGATTGGACTGCATGGACGGCAGTGTAGTCGTGCATCTGCTCCTCCTCCTCCTCCTCCATGGTGGCGTCGCCAGTGCGAATAACACTTGCTGGCCCTTTCTCCTGGCCCCTACCAGCCGTTGCTGTGTCTTTGACATGTCGCTGTGCGGACCGAAGAGAGGGCCATTCCATTGCCTTGTCGCCACCCCCAAGCAAGTAGGCTGGAGTTTAATTAAGCCTGCGTTTGCCGAGCCTGAGAAAGACGTCTCTATCCGCTTGGGGGCCTACACGTATCCGGCTCGCAGGGAGCATGTGACTATCCTGGACAACGAGGAGCCTCGGTCTGCCGTCGGGCGGTGCCTGATGCTGATAACTGTGTGTGGGTACGTGCCATCTGTCTGTCAGAACAAGTCGGACGGTAGAAGACGTGTAGAAACAGGGGGAAGCGAAAACCTAACGGCATCGAGTAAAAGGTGGCCCTTCGTCGCCCTACCCATGGCCAAGCGAGAAACAGCCTGACAGAACGCCTGATGAGCCGCTTGTCATGTCATGCCATTCTTCCCCACGCCGGCACCAGACGAGTACTTTAAGCACGACGCATAGTCTCTGCGCTAGCTGGTACCGTGCTTTGTATATGCCTCTGCAAAGCAGCTAGCAAGCCTCACTCTCCAGCATGCTTCTGCAAACTCACTGCCCTACCCGCTCGGGTACCTTGTCGACCATCTTGTCCTGGGTCTATCCGACACCCGCGACCAGCCCAAGTAGTGCCCAGCTTCTTCCGCATGCGCCATTAAAACCTCTCGCAAGCCTCACTTCCAACCGCTCTTCACCAGGTGGCTGCAACATTGCTCGTAAACTCGACATGATTCATATTCAAAGAACCCAACGCCGATGAAACGGAGCGGGTCCAGCCCAGAAGAGTATTAGGGCAAGTGGTTTGGCCAAAAGATACCAAGAGAGAAAAAAAGGACGAAAAACAAAAACAAGACACGGCCGTAACAACAAGTACATGTATGCTGAAAGAATAACATGCAATACAGAAAGCGACAGACAATACATCAAATGTACATGTGCATGTGCACCCAGTCCACCCAAAATAGCCAATGACGTGCAAATGGGGTATCAAACAAGGAACAATATTGTCAGGAAGAATGGCATCGTCGACGACCCGACAACCAGTCTGCCGTGCCCCAAAAGAGACCCTATTCCGCCAACACTTTTCAGACATCAATCATATCGTTGGAGCCATGACTAGGCGTTGGATCAGAGCATGACCATGCACGTATGCGCATGATGATGTCGAGATCCCCGTCTAGTCAGGAGGCCTCGGCCGGGGCAAAGAAGAGAACAATCTCGCCCCTGTCGTTTCTTCGGAGGCGCAGGTCCTTCCAGAGCTCCTTCTCTTCGTCAGCCTTGGAGGGCACGCGACCGCCACGCTCACGGTGGTAGCGCTTCAGAGCCTTGTGGACGCTCAAGCCGCGCCCAGAGTCGGGTCCCTTGTTGATGAAGGACATGAACAGCCCCGCACGCGTGTCGTAGTCGGGCGACAAGGGCGCAACGTCTGCATTGGGGCGCACAATCAGCTGGCCTTCGCCATTGGGCTCCGGGGATTTCGACGTCGATCCGTTATACTCAATGGCCTTGACAGCTTTGCGGTCCTGTGGGGCTGGTAAAACAGAAGAAGAGTACTGCCTGCGGCGGATGCGGCGCACCTCCTTTGTCGAGTCCTCCCGCTTCTTCTTGGACCTGATCTTTACAAGGGTGCCGCCAGACTTGCGCTCCTTTCGGTCGCGTTCACGACCACGTTCCTTGTCCTTCTTTTCCTTCTTTTCTGCATGCTTGTGTGCCTTTGTGTCAGCCTTTCGCTGCTTTTGCTGCTCCACCTCCACGTCACGCTGTGCGCGCATAAACGTCTTCGAATTGTCCTGCTTGGCACGTTTCATCGGACTTAGTGGCGAGTTAGCATAGTCGCCAGAGTCGTCTGGCGACGGCGGAAATTCCGGTCGAGCAAGGAGTTTGCTCAGTCCTCCAGTAAGGCCCGAGTGAAGCACGGCAGGGGCATCGGCCATGACAGTATCCTTCTCCTCTTGAGCCCGGATCAGCGACAGGTCGAGCTCGCTGGGGGAGTTGCGCTTGCGCTTGCGGTCTGTCTTGCTCACAGTCGTCTCAACATCGGTGTCGCGCGACTTGTTTCTCGAGTGCTTGCTCTTGGGAGCAGGCGTGGTAAACGAATCGTGTTGTTCTCGCGAACGGCGAACTTGGTTGGAAGGGCCGTTGATCTCATCGTCATCGGTGACTTGAAACTTCATGACATTGGCAGTTGCAGGCATGTCCTGTTCCTCGTACGCGGGCGGGCGGCTGTCTTCGAGCATGCGAGCCTCGTTGATGGGCGCGGTGGTTTTCGGAGCGATTGGCGTCGCGGATTGGTCGAGGAAGTCAAAGACATTGGGGGCTTCGAGCGCCGCTTGCTCGTGATAGCCTAGCGAGTGTGCGGCTGGAGGAGGAGTGGGCGCGCGAGGCGGAGCATCGACGATAGCCACTACGTTGTCTTCGGCGGGCGCGTCTTCGGCGTATGCATTGGGCGGCGTGAAGGTTTGCGAGTTGTCATAGTATGCGCTGTCTCTCTTCTGTTGCGGGCCCTTCTTCTTCTCTTTGTAGAGTTTGCCCTGGTACTTTTGGTCTTCTGTTATACACGACTACGCGCCATGTGGGTCAGCGACACAGATGTGCGAAAAATTGACAATGGCGCAACGCGCAATGCCAATGACTGCGGGGTGACGGCAGGCCGTGTTTCGACACACGCGCAGGCAGTGACGTATGGTAAAGAGGGTGCGGTGCGTACCGTATGGGCCTTGTACGAAGTGCCAGGGAAGTGGACCATGCAATCCAGGCATGTAAAGGTGGCGCCATAGCATTGGTTGCGATGGCCATCGAGTTTCTTCTTTGTGAGGACGTCGCCACAGCCCTAGAGCGGCACAGTGAGCGTCGAGTGCATGTGTGGGCGAGGGGTGCAATTGAGGGCGCAGCGCACGTAAACATGGGGCGGGCGCTCGTGTACATACCTCGCAGGAGAAGGAGACCATTGTGGCAGGGACGGGGATTCGATAGCACAAGTAGCGGTGAACAGCTGGCAGCGCGCAGGTCGAGGAGCAGAGTGAGGAGTCGGTGTGTGAGGGGGCGCGGCGTCGTTATCACCCCTCGCTGCTGACCCGGGCAAGGTTTCAGATGTTTTGGATACCACAAAAGCTGCTATGCGCTAGGTTGCTTTGGGAACAGGGCCCCTGGCGAATCGCGCCCTCTGCCCTCGCGACCCATCCCAAAATACATCATGCGACCACCCATCTTTGCAGCCCGCCCTCTTAGCGCCGGTCATGCACGCCCATGCATGCGTCTGGGGCTGCCCGGGGCTCGCTGGGGCGCTCTGGGGGAACGGGTGGGCTGCTCGTGTTTGCAGTCTGTCTCCATGTGCTTGGCTAATCCGCGCGCGCCGCCAATGGCCATGACGCTTTCGAGGGGAGAGGCACGGCGACGTCGAGGGGCACAGTTGCTGTGCCGCGATTGATTTCGCCTACATCTGGTCGCCGCTGATAACAGCCTGCTGCTTGCGCAAGCCCATGTCGGTGTGGCTGCTCCCCCAGCAGGGCTCCTCCTGTCAGAAGGCCAATGACGTGAACAGCTATTCGCTGCAGTCTATCTAGGGTGTAGTCGAGTCCGGTCTCTACACACCACTATCACGCCCCAACCAAGACATGGCCCCTTGAAGCCACCCCGCTGACGGGCCTATGTGATCGACCCGAGGGGTGGGAGCGGATACACCAGCCGTCAGGTAGACCATGGACATGCCCCCTTTGCCGAATCCTGAGCTGCAGCTTGCGACATGGCGGCGTGTCTCGGACATCGCGCTGGTCATTACCAAGTCCGCTCTGCCCTCCTGTGCCTGCTGCATACACATTGCCCTCTTGCAACTCGACGCCGTGACACATGGACAGGGTACTCTGCCATGTGCATACCCCGGGGCTCATGACCTGCACGAGCATGTCTCTCCTCGTCGTCTGTTGCTACTTGATATCAGCCGTACCACGGCCTGTCCCTGCCAGCTCTTCTTGCTACGGCCTTGGAATGCCACTATTCTGCGCATCCTGTCAAGCATGTCAGCATTTGTGACGCACCAAATGAATGCCGGGGAGACCGCATACCGCAATCGTATGCATCGCCAATATTCTCGCAGTTGAAGTTGGGCTTGCCCAGCCTCTTATTGACAATATTGTGAACGTAGCAGCCCCACATGGCTGCCGCCGTCCTAGACGAGACCTGCGGAGGATACTTGGCCAGGACTTGTCCAAAGTGCTCTGCGCATTCTCCACTACACCCACAATTAGCCCCCGCGTGACCCCAGTGTGAAGCTGTGTATGGCGGCGTGCGACCTACCAAGGATACAGGCGTTGAAACAGGTACACATATGACCGCAGTGCTTCCTTCTCTTCATCTGTAGGTTTTTCGGGGAAGCGGGAAAAGGTTGTGTGGAGCACTTTCCATGCCGCGCGACCCAGTTCTGCTCTGGACGTTGCGTGTCAGCTAAGCTCTTGTGCTGCGAATCCGACGCCCACTCGTGGCGTGGCCAACCTACTTTGCCGTCGCATTTCCCAGCTTCGGTGCGATTGCATGTCCGGTGAGCAGGCTTTGGCTGCTATGCCCCAGGTCTCTCTGGGGTGTGGTGAACGCGACGTGGCCCGAAGTAACTGTATGGGGGCCCATGAAAAAGAATAAGCAGAAGACTATGGCGAGCACGGCAGGGACTGCGAATCGCCCTTTGGGGCCGGATAGGCGCAACATGTTGATATAGGTACGTCAGAGTATCCAAGGCGGAGAGAAGTGGTTGCTCAAGGCACAAAGGTGAGGTACTACGGTGTGTGGGAGGTCGGCCAGGCCTGCGGCAAAGCCCCGTCACCCCCGCTTATCACATGCAGGGTAATGCTAACCCCACTTTTATTTATCCCTATCTACGTAATATTGCAGAAATCAACATATTGACACGAGAATATGTAAAGGGGATTCTATTAATACTATAAATAGAAGTTAACATACTTCTAATAATTGAAGGGATAGTGATTAAAATAATCTTACCTAACTACTCGTCTACCTTGTGTGTAATGATATTCTATCTCGAAGTTAGTACGGAGGTGCCTTTCAAAAGTATTGTCTGCCAAGAATAATCTAACTAAAGTGCGGCCGCCTTAGCTAAGGCTTGTCTCTCCTCTCTATGTACTTATTACTACCTTATAGCTTAATTATTTTTTTTTAAATATATATAAGAATTCGCTTAATCTAAGCTTAGATCTTAAGTTGTAAGAGATCGCTCTAGCAGTTCTATTAGACTCTAACTGCCTTAGCCCTTAACTGCGGAGCTCCTTTCTTTGTAGTCTCTCTTTTTATATAAAACTAGTATAGCTTAATATAGTTATAGTCTAGCAAGTTTCCACCCTAAAGTAGTCTCTTAACGTCGTACAGGCGATAGATTACACCCTAATAGTAGTAGGCGTGGCTAGGTGCCTTATCCTCTATTATAATAGTCTAAGGTCTATCTTAGAGGCACTCTTTAGCAAAAGGAATTAGCTTTAGAATTAAAACGTAGGCCTAATATCTCTACTAGTCTATACTACCTCTAGACTTACGCACTAGCTTACCTGTCTTCTCTATCTATCTCTATTAAGGCTTCCTACCACGCTTATTGCGTAGCCCTGTCCTTCTTATAGACTCTAACAGCTCTTATCCCTCTTACTATAGAGGCTTAAGCTTAGCGTTTAGCTACTTAATCTAATAAGTAGTATCCTCTCTCTTTACCTTTATCTTTAGCTAGTAGATATAGCATAGACCTTTTTTGTTATATAAGAAGTAGCCTTAGAATATAAACTTAGAGTATCCCTTCTACCTCTTATAGATGCAGCTCTTAACTACCCTCTTGTGTAAGGGGCTGCGCTCCGGGGAGCAATCGCGAGGTATACAAGAGGTTGTATTCGATAAGGAGCTATCTACTCTGCTTACGTGGTGTTTATTTACTTATCAGAGAAAGGTTATGCCAGAGTATCTGAGCGCGTTGTCTAAGCGCTGCTCGGTCTGAACGTAGTTCAGATGGTGCGCGCGCAGCTTGGCCCGAGATTCCATCGAGGAGCTATCCAAAGGGCGTTCAGCCCGTTACAATACCCCCCTCCTTAGGGGATACCGCATCGCCTCTCCAAAACCCCTCTAGGAGGCGGCCCTCGCTGTCTCGTTTGGCCTCCGTGAATGCTTCCCAACAATCTACTGCCTCAGCGTCCTCTAGCAGCTCAGCTAGTTCAAGCGTCGTTTGGTGGAACCCTTTCCATTTCACCTCGTAGTATAGCTTACGCCCTCTCCCACGGCGGCGTACCTCTTCTGCTATAATGTCCTCTACCTCCTATTCATCTTCTCCGTCTACCTGTAGTGGCTGTGGCTAATAGTTGTCCTGAACCTAGTTTAGGAGGGGATTGTTGCTAGCGAGTTTCAACCAATTAACATGAAAAACAAGGTGTGGTCCTGGAGGCGTATCTAATTCAACTAAGTGGCTATCGATTACCTTCACCACTGTATACTTAGCGTTCTTCCAGTCGAGCTTCTTTGAGCTTCGCCCTGTGCCGTACTACTGATCGAGCTT